TTATAGGACACTCTTGTGGGGCACTCTTGTGGGACACTCTTGTAGGAAACTCTTGTGGGACACTCTTGTGGGACACTCTTATCGGACACTCTTGTGGGACACCCTTGTAGGACACTCTTGTGGGACACTCCTGTGGGACACTCATTTGGGACACTCTTGCGGGACACTCTTGTGGGACACTCTTAAGGGACACTCTTGTGAGACACTCTTGCGGGACACTGCTGCGGGACACTCTTGTGAGACACTCTTGTGGGACACTGTTGCGGGACACTCTTGTGGGACACTCTTGTGCGACACTCTTGTAGGACACTCTTGTGGGACAGACATTGTGTAGATGTTTGTTTCAATCCATTGGTGAGCTGATGTCCCCTGATGTCAGGTCTTTGGATTTATCTTGTGTATCTTGTGATTCATGTGGTTACTGTACTCAGGCTGGGACTGTCACAATCTCCGACAATCTCCCTCTCATCCATTTGCTTGCTTATGCCTCAGTGTGCTTTGATCTTATTCAAGCGGTTCAAGAGGGCTGCTTCTTTTTTCAAGAGAAGCTTGTGAATGTTGACACCTGTGACATGGTCAGTGCCAAGTCTGCTCATCACCTTGGTCGACATTCATGACATTGGTTCATTGCGTTCATTGGTGAGCGTTGGTGAGCATTGGTGAGTAGTGATAATTAGTGTGATTAGTGAGTAGTAGGTAGTAGTAGGCATAGTAGTGGTAGTAGCGGTAGTAGTAGTAGTAGTAGTAGTAGTAGTAGTAGTAGTAGCAGCAGCAGTGTAGTGAGTGTAGTGGGTGCGGCGGGTGTGGTGGCCGCTGACTGAGTGGGGCAAAGTATTTCCTACAAGCCTTTGCCCCATGTCTTCAACCTGACAGAGGACTGTTTTCACATGTGTTCAATTCTTCTTGCCCAGAGCACTTCAATCTATTCGATCTATTGTATTCATTGCATTGAGCATAGTGATGTGAGTGATGTGAGTGATGTCAGCTGTTTGTCATTGTTTTCATCAATTCGATGAATTGCATCAATCCTTCTTGCCAACTGCAGCAGCCCTTGATGTGCTTGATGTGATATCCTTGTTTCTGCAATGTGGCTCAGTCTGCTGTAGTGGCTGTAGTCACTTTGTGCACTTTGTCGCTTTGGGACCCAGTGCCCTGATCACACGGATTGGCCCTGATCCTCCTTGGTTTAGGGCTCCCATGATATCAGAGATGCATATATTGGCAAGCCAGTGGGCAATGGTGATGACCCAACTTTGCTCTCAGAATCAGGGTATGCCCTTCCCTGAAGGAACTCCGCGCTGTCCTCAGATGAAACAAATGAAACGGAATGAAGGACATACAACTCCAACTATTCCTGCGTTGGGAGGAGGTCCGAGAGCAGCAGGTGGAGAGGCATGGTGGACAAGCACTACGTGGCTTCCTCACCCGTGGGGTGGAGAGGCTGAACAACGAGGAGGACTGGTAATACGGTTAATACTTGTGATGCATTGTGAGGCTTGTGAGCAGTTGTTGTGAGTGGTGTGAGTTGTGTTGTTTTGGTTGTTTTGATGGTTTTGAGCTGCTGGGTCATCTTCTTCCACTCCTTCTGTCTCTCCAAAACGAGCGTTTCGTACGAGACTTCCTCAAAAACTCACGTGTCAAAGTCTCCAAAACAAGCGCTTCGTACGAGACTTCCTCTACAAGTCAAGCGGAAACACCCATCGGAGCACACACATCACGCAGCCCTGCCAAGCAGTTTCGCGATTCCAGCAAGTGGATTTCTTTTGTCGGACGGGGCTTTGCACCCCAGACTGTGTTTGTCCAATGTGACCGGTCAAATTGCAAAGAAAGAACGGTCAGGTTTTTTTGGGCACACTGCCTCCACGTCTGTGGGTCTGCGCAGGAGTTCCGGACGCAACGAGCACCGGCTGTATCGGATTTCGAAGGCCCGGGGACATCCACGTATTCGAGGGATGCGATTTCACGATCTACTTGCGAATTACGTTCTCCTGGCTGCCTCATGCCTGCAGTGTTGTGTTTGCGCAGCGAAATACAGACACCCAACGTATACTCTCCTCTCACGAACAACGTCCTCCTTGCTGCCTCCCGCCCTCCAAACAACATCCGCTCACACGCCAATCCCAATGTGACAGCGACATTCACCTCTACCACAACTCACAACCTCACGATTCCCTGCGCCTGCCACGACTCTTTCCGCATCCACACGTCTAACGCGCACAAAGTACTGCGCCTGCCACGAAATGTCACCTCCGTCACACCTCGCAACCTACGCAAATGCCAATGGCGCGGCCACATCCAACACCAAAAACACGACTCTCCAAACGCTAATCCCACAGAAAACTGCGGATCTCACGAAACGCTGCGCCTGCGCAGCGAAATGCATCACGTTTCTTGCGCGACATGTCATTTTCATGCAAATCACAATGTAATAGCGGCGCAAACTGACACGTGACACATCCATGAAAAGTCACTTGCAAAAGCTTCCCCCAATGGCCTCGAATTTGAGACGCGACGACGACGACAAACGACGAGAGACGACGAGAGACGACGACACGACGCAAGCCATGCAAACACAGCTCCAACCCCCAGACCCCCAATTATAAACGGGAACCCTTCGCTACGCATTCGGGAAAAATTGCCCTAGTTTTTGGAGGAACCCAGAACTGTTTCTGGTTGGGACTGGGTTTCCACGCAGGTCTGGATACCACAAGACTGTCCTGCAAGAGAGTGCCACAAGAGTGTGTGGGCATGGTTAGCTGTCCCATGCCCGGCATTGGCATTGGGCATTAAGCCTCACACGGGTGGGGGCAGGCTAGGTCTTGGAGTGCTAGGTCTTGGTGTGGTTTTCTTACCCTGTCCTTCAAAGTGGTTGGTGTGGGCAAAGTGGTTTTCTTAGCCTGGTTGGATGATTCTGGGGTGTGTGGCTCCCACTTTGAATGTCTTTGGCCAGAGCAATGGTGGTCCTAGGGTCTCATTGAGACCTTGTTCCCTGGTGCGGTTTCTCAGCGTTGTCGGGCTGGTGTTTGTTGGGCCTCCAGATGCTAAGATGCTGCTTTATGGAGCAACTTGGGATGAATGAAAGGGGGTGATCTGAGCACTGAACCACAAGAACTGGCTCCCACCAACGCCAGAAGTCCAGATCGAAAGCACCACATGAAGTACAGAAAGCCAGTATGTTGGAAGAACACCTGTTGTAGAACACCTGTTTTTGCACCTGGATGGATCCCTAGTCCAGTGGTGTGAGGGTGTCCATTGGACATTTAGAATGGTCCCCCATGGCAGCTTTTGCAGGGTCTCACCCACCTCCACCGATCAGCGCCACAGATTGGGGCCCGGTGACCTTTGACGTGCCAGAGCTGCACGTCTTCCGGGCAGCGCTCAGCGACGGAGGTGTGCGGCGTGGCGCGCGCCCGTGGCGGTCGCCGCGGAACTGGTGGGTCAGACGAACTAGTCGCCCAATGGTGCTCCTGGGAGCCGAGGACGAAACCAAACATATGGCGTCTGCGAAGATCGTTTGGGGGTGGGGTTTGAAGATCGGTTGGCAACGAGGTTGCCGGGGCTGTCGATCTTCCCGGCATCATGGCATCGTGGCATCGTCCAAAGCTCCTGAACCGGACCGCCGTCCGTAACGCTGAAACGCTCGGAACGGGACCGCTCGTCACAGACCGGTGTCCTGGAGTGGTCGGACCGGCCAACCTTGCCAGGGAACTCAGAACTGATTGAAGACCTACAAAGAACCGGCCAAACATGTGTTGAAAGGGTCCAACGGAATCGGGATATTTTTTCCCAAGCAGAAGCAAACGAAGCAAGGAACTCTGTCCCAACCACTGGCTTCGAACAAAAAATACCGCACCGACCCTTCAAACATCTGAAAAAATCACCCCTGCAACATCTGAAACAGGTCAGCCCTCGGTCTCCGTCCCATGGATTGTGACCAGCACCCGAAAGCGGTCACCACCGACCATTTTGGGTCGTCTCCATTTCAGCCACCAGAGCAGATCTGTGGAGTCTATTGTTTGGGGGGGGAAGGGGTTTAACTGCAGCTGCGACGCCTTCGATGGGATTCCTTCGACTGCCAGGCCTGCGACGCCGCCTTGAGAGTGGGCGTAACGGTCTGGAGGTGGGCGAGAATGTTTGCAGAACCAGGAGTTCCACGACAGGACCCCCCAAAGAAAGATGCACCAGTACCCAGAGACGTTGAACAGCCTGATTATATCGCCCATGCCATATGTACCACTACAGGTCTCTCGGGGTGATTTTGGGACTGGCATATGGCTACCGATCAGGCCAGGGGTGGTTTGAGGTGTACCTTATATAATTCTGGCAGTCCAAGTACTAGTACTATACAGAAGTTTGAGGTCGATCAGGCCATCGAGACCCGGATTCAGCTTCTGTACATGAGACCCAAACCCTCTCAGGGTCCCAGCCAGTGACCGCTACCGATCTCAAGTGACCGTGGTCACGTTGAAGAACCAGTCGACGGAACGTTGGATTTAAACGGTTTTGGGACCAAACAACCGATGGTCCACCGATGGTCTTCCAACGATTTGTTTGCGCCAAAAACCACACCAGGTCGGGTTCAAACTGTCAGGAGTGTCGTTCGTTCGGCGACATGGAACAACTGGATCAAGTCGGATGGGACTCGGGGACTCCATCGATATATTCCCTACAAGTCCAAAGACTATATTTTGACCGGCTGAAGTAAAGGATATTCCTTTTCGGGTCACCTAAAGACCATTCTTTTTATAGTCTTTGACTCTCAGGGTATTACTTGATTACAGTGGGTTTCTGGGAAAGAAACCAAGGGAAATGAACCCACCGTTCAACCATGGGAAATTGCCTGGAAACAGAAACCCAGTGTTGTTCCGTGCCAACATGGGCTCCAGCTTGAGAACCGGCTCCCAGTGCTGACTGTGGACGACGTTCCATCATCTTTCATCCGACCGCCGCCGGTGATCATGAGACCGCTGGTCTAGTTTTCTTGGCTCATTGAGCCGCTTTTTCGAGCACGTTCCAGGCGCTTGCGGGCACAAAGGTGCTCGTGGTGTGAGCGAGCACCTCTCAGCCGTGTAGAACAAGGTTGGACCGTGAGCAGTGTGGGTGGTTTTGGGGCACTAGAGGGCTTTCAGAACCATGTCTTTCGATTGTTTCTTGGGGAACTCCGTTGACTTTGAGGAGCACCGTCGACTCCTTCGAGCGACCCGCTTCTTCGGTGACCGGGCCCCGCCGACCCGCACCGGCGCCGACCCTCGGTCCGGTGCGCGGTATTTGGACGTCATTCGTCGCCCGGAAGATGAAACCATGACTCACCCAAACGCTCAATGGACCTCTGGAGGGGGGTCTGGGGCACGAAAACGACGACCCATTGTCCATCCAAGGTAGCAGTCGGGTGCAGAGATGAAGACGAGAGACACATCGAACGTGACGTTCAAAAGTGCAGTCGGCGTTGCAAGATGTTTCCAAGTGCCTTCGGAGAGAATACCAGTGCCGTTGAGTGTTCGACTAAGCTGTGTTCCGCTAAGCTGGCTCACAGTTCTGCGCCCAAAAGGCATCATTGGTAGTCACCAAGCATGGTCCAAGAGCACACAAGTGGTCTTGCACCAATACGCCATGACAGATCCACAGCGGTGTTGTCTAACTAGGAAGTCCGAAAAGAAAAATCGCATGGGGTCCAGGTACCTGAGCATGGTCTTGGAGGTGAAAGTGGTCTTTGGTGCATTGGGGGGCCAAAAGACATCCTCGGCATGGTCCTGGACCCTTAGGCTAGGGAATAATCAGTGGCTGATTCAGGTTGCTCCATCCCTGGCAAGACTCTGGCACCATGGGAAGTCGAGTTTGACCAATGACATCCATTTGGACCCGACTTAAGTGCCGAAAATGGGACAACGCCTCTGGCACAGAACAGGCAGAACCGATTTCTCTTCAAGGAATGTCAACCTTTTAGGACTTGTAGGGTGAGGTATTTCACCCACACCCATACCCTCGAAGTCGAGTGAAGGACGGCCTCTCCGAAAAACAGATCCAAGCCGATGAAGATGGATGGTCATGGCACCTGAAATTGTACCATGCTTGACCCCAATGAAGTACACATTCTGTAAATGGTCTTTAGGTGACCCGGGTCTATAGGACTGTTCTTTGCTTCGATGGTCCCCCAAAAATCGTCTTCACTGGACTACCTCCAGGGGTCAAGGAGTCCGACCGCCGCGAGGTTGCCAAAGATGGGCACCCGACAGCTGGCCGATGACCGGTGCTGTCGAGCTGTGCCCGGTCGCAACCGCGGTCGAAAAGGGCCGCGTCGGTGGGCCCAAATCGGAGCGTCTCGACCGAGGCGTCGTCGTTCGGTATCTAATGATCGAAAGACGAGCCGGACCTGGGATCGAGAGTTCCCTAACCCCTGGGCGAGCTGGCGGCGAAAACCAACATCGAAAGAAAAAGTCATGTCAACGTGTTCAAAGAAAAATGTTTCAAGAGATGCCGCCGGACCGGGATGCCGCCGGGTGGACCCCGACCTGTTTGGCGTCCTGATAGTGGTCGTATCGAAAGAGAGAAGCCCACAGTAGTCTAGATTCACCACCCAAACCACCAACTGAGGAGGTGGACTGCATTCTGCTCATTGACCAAACTTTGCTCGGTTCCAAGATACTTCTACGCTCAAGACAATATACGAACAGCGGGTCACACAGATATAAGAACTCGAATAAAGATCAATTAAGGTTATACCAGGAGCATCCTGTTTGGGTGTCCTGGCTGGACTACACTACACTTCTTAGTAGACACCCATTGGATGTCCCACCCTTAGATTCCGGGCCCTCAAATGGGAAGGGTGTTGAGGGTCCAGACCCCATGTTTAAACTCCTTCTCTCCAAAAAGCTCTCGAAGCCATGGTTTCACCCAAAGCTGCTACCCAAAGCTGCACCGTCCACGCATTTTAACATGTTCTTCCTGCCAAATCCCAACTAGCCAAAGGTTCATTGGAGCCTCATAGCTAGAGTTTTGACCCTCACAACTAAGGTGTTGGACCTCACACATGTAGGAGTTGGTGAGGGTCCATGAGCCTGAGGGTATCGAACAAAATCTATTGTGGTTAGCCAGGACTAGGTCGATCACGTGTGCAATCTTTGGTAACCGCACCTATTCTTAGCAAGAGCTGGAGCAAAACCTCAGCATCAGGGTTTCGAGGCCGCAAGAACCTGTGCCAAAGAGGATCCTCGGGCGTTTGAGCAAAGACCCGCAGAGCATTTGCAAAGACCCGCATTTTTACGGCTGGCGGTCCCAGACACCACCTCTTTGGGACTGGCATAGGACTGCCGAGAAAAGGCCAGGGGTAGGGTAACAAGGGTCAATATACCACCTTTCGAAATCGGGGGTGGCTACTTATGGATCTCCAGCAAAGGTGGGCACCACAAACAGGAAGCTTCAGGTATAGGCAGGTATACCCCAGTTTCAATTAATTAATGGCGGGCCAACAACATCCACCTCGGGGCCATACAATCTCAGTCCAATGGATCCATCCTTCGTGGCTGCGCACTTCCCATTGGACGGTCGTTTTCGCCCGGTCGCTTGGCCGCGGGCGCTTGGCTCGTCACCGCGCTCGGCCCCTGTTGGCTCTGCAGGTTTTATTGGAGAAGTCGGTCGGACAATGCCCACGACATGCATCGCATCGAAAAACAACTCGACTTCAAGTCGTCGGTTTTGTGACCCATCCAACTACGTCGGTGCACGGTATACCTGGATGCTCCGTTTTTGTACTGCAATATGATGTTAGGCCATATATTTGTTGTGCTAGGGTCAGGTCCCAGGTTCGGTATTACACCCAATATGAGCATTTTGAGAGACTGAAGCTTAGTTCATTGTTCGCTGCAAGGTCTTTTCATGCCTGGCTGCCTATTCCTTTTTTGTGAACTCTCCTAGAATATACTACTCCGGCCATCACCAAATGCAGGTCTCGTTGGAAGAGAAATGCAGGCACACCTCAACCCTATACATGATGGATTCTAGGGCGCATGCCAAGAACTGCACGTCGGATCACAGATCCTGACAACCCAGCGCATACGCTGCATGTGAACCGGCATTCCCCGGCATTCCCCGGGCGTACAGGTCCCCGTGGTTCGGACGGAGAGCACGCTCTCGGCGTGGGGCGTTGGGTGGGTTCGAACCGTTCCGACACATGGGTCGCGCGCCCCCGGAGTCAAGAGGTATCGCAGGAGTCAAGAACCTTCAATGACTCTGGATCGAAACTGTTGTTTGTTCCTGGTGACCTGAAGTTTGTGGACGGATTCCCCCAACAAAAACATCACGCGCAGGAAGAGCCGAACAAAAACATCACACGGATTCTCAAGGGCGTTTCACGGGCTCGGGCGTTTGACCCACAGCCGAAGTCAAGGACCCCTGCAGGTCCAGTCTCACCCAGATCCAAAGCTGGTCCTTTACACCGAGCCCTTGAGTATAGAATGCTTTTTTTTTATTTTTTGGATGACCAACTCCAGTTAATGTAGGACTCTTGATGAACTGAATTGAACAACTTCATTAAATGGGGGTGATTCCTCCAAAGTCTACAGGGTTTTTATGTGAAGAACCGTTTTCACCCACCCCCACCTTCCTCGACCCGGGGACGGCCAGGGGCAGGCGACCCAAGCTTGAGGAGAATCCAAGTGATGTAGACTCTGAGGGGTCACAGTGTCGGGGTGGTTTCTATCGTCTCATCTAGTGAGTGGATGTGAAGTCGGGGCACCCCCAACCTCCAAGTCGGGGTGGTCTTGATCGTCTCATCCAGGGGCACCCTGGCCTCCTTCCTCCCTTCGGCCTTCGGCACCCCCGACATGGACTCCTGGTCTAGCTTGATGAATAAGAGGTACCCCAAGGCCTGAAGAGGTTGTGCAATCCAAATGGAGAGGGATTGGTCAAGAGTCTACATGAGGCACAACCCGCAAAGCCACTGGAAGAGGTCACATGAATGGGGAGACCTCCTTTTTTTTCTCGCCGCTGCCATGGATAGACACGGAGGTCTATTTTCCTTCCAAGGGGGCCGTTGTTTCGGAGGTCTCCGTGGGTTTTAATGCCCATGTCAGGTCCAACGACGATCACTCTCTTGAGGGATATTTTTGGATGTTTTGTTGGACTTAAACAGCTCCAGTTAACAGAGCCTTTCCTGGTCCCTCAAAACCTCGGGTTCAGTGAGAACCCCCCCTCTCAGGATTCGGTCCGGACTTCGCATTTGGATGCTCAAATGAACAGATAAACCTTTTGAATTTGGGAACGCTGAGGCCATCGACCCTAGCCTTGGACCATTCCAAAAATGCTTGGCCTGGCTGCCTGGCTTTGTAGTGTATCAGATCGAATCAGTAAAACAGCCTGGTTCTTCGGTGTAAACCGATGAAATCAATGCATGGTTCTCCGAAAGGTCAGGGGTCTGCACCTTCTCACCAATCCTTGTGACCGGAGGGACCCTGGTGACCCGTCGGCGACGGGACCTCCACGGAGCGTTCGACGCGGGGGGAGGGACCGACTGCAAAGAACCTGTCGCAGGTGACGAGGAGACCCAGGACCGCGTTCGACGCCGGGTCACGCGGCGAAGGTCACGGGCGCCAGGTTCATGAGAAAACCCAGAGGCTGCAGTGAAACCAGGGGCTTTGGGGGGCGATGGAGGAAGTCTGAGGCGCACTGCAAACCACCGAAGATGAAGAATTCCTCGGACCTCCCAACTTCACGGCGTCTACAATGGATGGGTCTTGGTGCACGTGATGCGTGATGCGGGGCTGACAGGTGGTCACTTCCTGGCGCACCATTGATCTAAGATAGTCTGAGTCCCAAAGAAACAGCTAGTTTTGACCAAGAACGGTTTCAGCCTAAGGACGTTCTTCGGTATTCAGACTATATTTGATCAGCTTTTACTAAGGACTTTACACAGACCATGGTCTTTCCCCATGTTCTTCACGGTCTTGGCAGGCGAACGGGGTATGTGCCGTCCGTAAGCCACCGGTCTCCTCCGTTGGCCCACCTCCGAAAGGGTTCGGTGATTGGGGTGGGTGGGTGCCAGGGAAGTCGAATATCACCGAACCTGAGGAGATGGGACAGGAGCCCCAACCGGGTGTATTCATGTCATTTCATGCACCATTTCTTGTACCAGGATCCAAGACTGTTTGAGGTTTGGGCCTCTGGTGTCGGAAGGTGGTTCACCTGGTCGGAAGGTCTCGACGGAAGTGTCTCTTAGAGGTGAAGACTGGGGATTGACATCCTCCAGGGCCCCCCTGCTTGGGGTTGTTAATGGACATCCCGAATCACCTCTAAGGAACTATAATTGGACACCCCGAAAAGGGGGGGCCCTGGCCTTGATTCACGAATGGCTTCTGGAATCTCCTCCTTGGCCCCAGATGAACCACGTCAGCGTTGGTCAGACCTGACTTCTGCAGAGACCAGGTGAGAACAACCCCCCAGGTGCACCAAACGGAACGAAGAATCGCCTGAAAAATGTTCTCGAGTGGATTCCAAGATGGGAAGTTATTCAGCAGCACCCCGGAAATGGCTTGATGGAGCCCCCCCCGTCTCCAATGCGGGGGTGCCGGCATGGACCCTTGACTGGACGTCTTCTTCGCCTCATCGACTTCAAGTGAGCAGACCAGTGTTGTTCCTGCCCAGATAGGCCGCCAAAAGGCTCAGAGTTAGGACCCTCAGGTGTTGGACCGGACGGGACCGAACGGGTCGGTCTCCCACCGGGGTCTTCGCCACTTGGGGGGGGTCCCAAGGGCAGAAGAGTTTTGGAAGGTGTCCTGGTGTTGTGAACTAGAGAGGACCTGAACTAGGTTTTCTGTGACCAGAGGAAGGACCTGAACTACAGAACGAAGCTCCTACAGAGGTTTTTGTTGGTGACCTCAACTAGGACCCGTCACCAGGGGTACCGCCTTTTTAGGATAGTCGAACGTTTGGGTTCCACCTCTGGCTAGTAAAGCAGGGCTTCTTCGGCACGTCACAATGCGCCAGGAATCTGAAGCGCCAGACACTCCATGTCGATCCTGATCCCAGTCCCAACCACGCCAACTGATCGGTACAACCGGTCCCAAACAGGTCGTGTTCCGTTTCAACAACCTGTCAACTGGACGGGGGCTTCGAGGAGAACGCATCGCCGTTGGCGCCGAACTTGGCTCAAATCCTTCCAGCGGGACAGCGCAGCAAAGGGCCAAAGAGACAGATCGGATCCGAAGGCAGACCCAAGTAGTGAATCTCCGAGGAAACTGTGTCTCCGTCAGCTTTTGGTGCAACGGTGTAACTCTCACGTAAAGCTCAAGCTGAACGAGACCAGAAACTTTAACTGGCCGAGTCGCAGGCGACCGATCAGATCTATAAAGGTTCATGGACACTCCATCTCTCCACACGCCAATATAGGTATAGTACACCCTCCACGATGATCTCGGGTCTTCGGTCTGGTGAGTCTTCCATGTCCGCCCTCCAAAAGAATGCCCTCCGGCGACCCGGCGACCTGACCAGGACGAATGCCATCCATTTAGGTGTTCTTGATCCTCCAGGATCTTCCAAGTCTTTTGGTGGAAATGAATGTGGGTTGGAAGAACACCCTCCTCAGACCAGAACACCAACTCTGACCCAGAACTTGCTTCATTTCAAGGCCTCGTGTCCTGCGCTTCTAGACGACTCGTCAGACTCGTCAGACTAGACCCCGACCTGCACGGCTTGTGTCACTCCGCCCACTCCTCCACTCGCCACACCCCCCTTCCCTCGGTGGAACGAAGCCAGCCCTCGGTGGACCAACGCCCATGGTGTGACGGAGTCATGGTGAAAGGGCTGGAGAAAGGCCGCTCGGTTTGCAGCGTCACGCACACGGCGGGCGCGTGACGCACCGGAAGAACCCGGCACTGGAGTGGTCTGCGGAGAACGGGTGACCCAGTCCGTCCGTGTTTCAGGGATCTGCTTCGGTGACGGAACTGAGCTCACCAGGCCTGGCGAGCTGGGGGATCAGAATCCGGGACGGAAAAACAGCGCGAGATCACGAACGGACGAAGCTGGTCAACCATTGCTTTAGAGTGGACTCAAAGTAGATGGCACAAAAATCATCAAAAATCTTTAAATGTTTGTTAGATGGGGTATATCAATCTACTCATCTTTTATGGGCCAATGGTCCCATCCATACCAGCACCGACTTCACAGGTCACCAATTGAGACCTGTTAGGGCCAAACAATCCTCCAAAGGAGACCTGTTGGAAGGTGCTGGTATATGTATACTGTATACGTCCATGTCACTTCTTCTGATCCGTGATCAGATCTGACAAAAGGTCGGTTCGGTCGGATGTTGCGCCCCGAATCGGAATCGGAAAGAGACGTGGAGTGTGGCACAGACGCGAAGTCTGGACCCTGCGCTCAGGGTACCCGAATTCTCGGGTCAGGGGTCGTACCGCTTCCAAGGGGTGCCCTGTCTGGAGACCTGTAATGTGGAGATGTCCAAATTGGGGACCTCTTGGAAGCGCTAGGCAGACCCGAAGCAGTCCCGGTTTCCAGGGACCGGGAAAGGCCTGGTTTCACGGAGCGTCTGGGAGGGGAGTCTCAGTCATCTCAGGAACCGACGCTGCAAAGCTGGGGTTCCCGACGTAACTGATCGCTTGGAACCCAGCAACAGGTCGGTTGAAGAACCCTAAGGTATTCTGTATACCAGCACCCGAAACCTGCCAGGTCACCACCTACCACTTTAAAGTTTCTAAAAGCAACCAGAGGAGACCTGTAGAGTCGGGTGCTGGTAGATGTAGACTATACGCAACCAGGTCAAGCATGTCTTTTCATGGTCTTGGAAGTCTAGAGTATTGGTCTTTTGGCACCGGATGGCACTGGAGTGTGGACTGGGCATGCCTTTCATCGCGTCTCCTACGGCCCGGGCTTCGTGCGGCAGTCAGTGCTTCCGGTGCTTCACACACATCTGACAGCAGCTTCAATCACTCAGCTCTCCCCCTAAGACATTCCAAGACCATTAACAATGTCTGTAAAAATCCTGGTACTAAAAACAGCTGGTGTTTCGGTAAAACAACAACGACTTTGTCCATCCCATTCGGCAGAACTCAGCTCCGACCGAGGCGGCCTGGCGGTGCCCGCGTCCGACGCCGAAGGCGACGACGCCTCGGCGTCCTCGGACGCCAGCGGCGAGGCCAAGCGCCGGCGGCTCACCGTCGTGCGGGGCGCGGAGGCCCAGGGGACGCTGACTCTGCGTCGCTGTCAGCTTCACGCGGAGTCGGGAGCTTCGAGGAGTGCTGCAAGAGGTGATGCTGTCGAGGTGCTGATGCACCGTGATGCTGTCGAGGAGGTGTCCAATATGAATGGCAACGGACTCTATACACTTCTACCAACATTTCTGCTAACAGGTCTCTTATAGGGAGAAGAGATGTTCCATGCATCGAAGTGACATGACATGCATGGGCGATGCTGACGCAAGATTCTCAGATGTCCCGGCTGCTGGGGGAGGTGCGATCAACGCGTGCAGGTCAGGGGGGAACAGTTTGGTTGAGGGCTGGTGAGCGCCATGGTGGGCGCCATGGTTTTCAGCAGCTCAGGGCTCCAGAGTTTGAAAGCCAAGCCAGAAAATCTACCTGCAAGGAAGACGATGTTCCTCTACAACCCGACGTGGCTTTCAGGTTCCATGTGGGTCTCGGCGTAGACCTGTAGGAAAGGTGCTCTAGCACTGTGAAGGGATCAAGGTGCAGAGTTGAGTGGGAATGGACCGGACCCGGCCATATAGGAATTGAAATTCCCAGACACTCCATGTGTGGCATAGGGTTGATGTGGTTTTGTGCTGTAAAATCGTAAAGTTCGACTTCTAGGGTACCTAGCGGCCTAGCGCTTCCAAAGGGTGCCCTGTCTGGAGATCTATAAGTAGTGTGGAGATATCCAGTGGTGACCCCTTGGAAGCAGCATAGTTAAAATGCCCAGACGCTCCAAACAGACCTTGGGCCCTCAAGACCATAGGGATTGGTTCGGGTCCGGACCCCTCCATAGAATTCGGCTAGGTACGGCCCCGGTCCCGGTCCACGCAGGGTCCAGACTTCGCGTCTGAGTGGTTCAATTCATAGACCGGTCCCGTGGGGATTGACACACCACCCGGGTCTCCCGGTCCCGTCGATCCGGCGACCGGCTTCCCCAACGTCCAAGGATCCGGCCGACGTCGGTGCGCATGCGCCTTCCTCTCGGCCGAGGTCTAAAATGGTTGACCTGATTTTCTAGGGTCACACCCTGATGATATATGACTCATAAAACAATCTAAGCAAAAACTGGTTCTGTCAAATAGCACGTTCAATCAATGGTGGGCCACCGGTCGTGAGCTCGCCCCACCAGGATTCCCATCTCACCTCACCTCACCTCGGACGACAGATGGGACGACCAAGGGCAGATCCCACTGGAGCTTGAAGAGCTCCTGACACAGCCCTTCTCGAAGGAAGAGCCCCTCGGTGAGAGATATATGAGAGGACTGACACGACGGCCCACGGCCCGCGGTCGGTCGAGCACTCCAATGAGACCCAGACACGACCTGATGGGGGGGCTACTGCCATCGGACTGGGCCGATCAGTTGGGATGCTTCCAGGGGTTGTACCAGCACCCTCCTGGCCACGCGTACTTCGTTGAGGGTTGGGAAGGACCCTGTCGAAGCGGTCGAACCGGTGACCTGGCAGGTCGTCAGGTCCTTCTATAGGCATATATGCCAGTCCCATGGTGTCTGGGAGTGTCACAGAGAGTCTGGTCGTGGATCTTGTATTTAGGGCATTTGGGATGGATCCATCAGAGAGGCTGAGCACCACGTCTGACCAGTCCAGTGGCTTCATCGCGTTCGCCTTCCACTGAGCGACGCTCCGAGCCTGGTCCTTCGAACGACGGTTTCCACGCCGTTGACGTTGACGGTCCAACCCGCAAGGTCGACGTGTTGGAGGGACCAGGTGTCGTCGGTTTGTTCGGGGCTCGTAGGTGACGTGAACACCCTCCACTGAGAGCGCACACCTCAGGTGGGTTCGGAAGGCCGAAATTGAGGTTCCGAAGGCTCCGGGACCCTCCAAATTCACATGGCTCCGTCTCCGTCTCCGTCGTCCGTCTCCGCCCTCCGCGGTGAGGCGCGACGTGATCTTCACGTCCGTCGGCTTGACCACCGTGCCGCGGGCGCCCCCCTCGCAGCGGCCCATCGCCCCTTGGGCGATCGAGGGGTGGACCGAAGGCCACCTGAGGTGGAGGTGCGAAGAGCTGGTAGGTTGTAGGGCTTTTTTAGTGCATTAAGAGTAAAAACTATAGGTATTTGAATATAGTAAAGACTGCTAAATCCAACAAAAGAGTCTGAGTCTGTATACAGTAGAGCCATGTAGAGCATATACAGTATATACATGTGTGAATTTGAGGTAGGATCTCATTCTGTTGAGCCAGGTTGTCACACTATGTTGTGTCTGCCGCCGTTTGGCTCCTAGGGCCCTTGAGCTATACCGTGCTCGCTTTCGCAGTGAAAAGAGCGTGTGGACAGTACGATTCCGGTTGCTACCGACATTGGTAGCGGAGCAGGTGACGGCCTGACTCCGGCACGTACTGATCCAGGTCATTGGAATCGTAGAACATCAAGCCTGAGCTTGCATTCCTTGCGTGCTTCCGCTTGCCTCCTCTGATCCCGTTGGGGACAGAGCCCGGAATAGATTGCTCGCCCGAGCAATCTCCGTCGGAATCGTCGAACATGTCCATTGCTGGACTCAAGTTCCATTCGGGTAGCACTGGTGATAGAATAGGCAACCCCCTGGAAACTAAGAGTGGGTCTTACATCTATTGGGGAGATCCTGCATCATTTCATGATTGGAAATTTCGAACCGAACTCCGCATCAAGCTGTACGACCAAGCCCAAACGCAACCAGCAAAGAAGCAGGATCCCGTGACTGGACCTGCCGACGAAGGGGAGCCTTGGCCACCAGAGTCAGACGAAGGATTCGCATTCCCTTCGCCTGGACACTACCCCGAGGAGTTTGAGCCCGAGCCGCGTGAGACTGCCGGTACTCCCAAGTCGAAGGTTGATGCAACATCACCGAAGGCTTCGTCCGTTAAGTCAGACAAGTCGAGTATCATCGATCGCAGTGTCCTAGTGAACAAGATCGTAGAAGGTTTGAGAGGTGATGCCTTTTTGCTTGCCAGAGACTTAGGTCTAGAGACACTTGCACGTCCAGGGGGACTGGAGCGTCTCATCGAGGTGATACGTAATCATGTGTTTCCTCGAGCCTTGGAGGAGAGTAAGGAGCTTTTTCGCGCAGGACAGAAGCATGGAGGACCACTGTCGAGACAGCCTACAGAGAGCATGTTGTCGTACACTCAGCGTCGACGACGCTGGTGGACCTTGTTGGTTGAGCTTGACCCCACAATGATGATCTCAGAAGCTTTCCGCACAGAGCTATTGTTGGAGATGTCAGGTATCTCTAGGCAAGAGATCCTCGTGGTGAAGGCTTGTCGCAAGAACGATGACTTCGAAGGTACTGCACGAGTCCTGGTTGACAACTACAGTGGAATCCATCTTCGTGAAGGGTCCCGATCCTGGACAGGACGGGGAATTCAGCCTCAGGTAGGCAAAGGCAAAGGGTACCAGAAGGGGTACCAAGGTAAAGGTAAAGGTAGCCAATACCCTCGTGCTGGTTACAATGCCGTCTATCCCGATTGGGAAGACAATTTCGATTGGAGAGATGAGGACTTGCAGGAGCATCATCATGAAGAAGATTCTTTCGTAGGCATGCTAGGAGGGGTTGAAGAGCCTGAAGAACATGAACATGCTAGCCATACTGAATACGAAGATTTTGAGTATCATGATGATGTTGATGAATATGAAGCAATTGCCTTGAATGCAGTAGTTGATTGCGAAGATGCCGAAGAACGTTCCTCAGGTGATGCTATCCAATTGCAGCTTGCCGCATTCGTCGCTTTCGGGAAGGCAAAAGGCAAAGGCAAGGATAAATTCAAGGGGAAAGGTAAAGGCAAAGGTAAGATAGTGAAGTCTCACCTTAGCATCGAGCAACGTCGACAGAAACTGTCCGAGATCAAGGCGAAATCCAAGTGTCTTCGTTGTGGTGGTTTAGGTCACTGGGCCGGAGACCCCCAATGTAAGATGCCCAATGCCCCGAAGACTGGATCGGCCCCGAAACCTGCTGCACACATTGCCCACATGAGTGATTCATCCGAGGACGAAGGGATTTTTCTAGGTGCGGCGTCTCCAACCGACAGCGTTGCTCACATGGCCGTGAAGGCCAGCTCAGGAGTTCGTCCGGAGGCACCAGTGAGTCCCAACGACCTCGTAAGGCCTGAGGGGAGCGATAGGAAGTTCTTAGCTGGACAGTTCAGGGGGAAGACATTTTGGCAGATCCTTCATGAACATCCTGACTACCACCAATGGGCCATCAAGAATGGCAAGAGTCCAATCGCTTCGGCTTTCGTCACGTGGGTTGATCAGCATTTTGAATACAGGGGAGCTTCAGTTTTCAGGAAGGTTGGCGGTGCTTCTTCTTCATCGTCATTGCAGCCAATCCCAAAAGGGTCCTCAAGGAAGAAACCACCATATCCACCAAAAGAGAAATGCAAGAATTGTTCCGAGTTCACCAAACAAGGGAGCACAGCATACACCTTTAAGAAGACATGCCTTGTCTGTGGGAACTCCACCACCGAGCGTAGAGAGCAAGCCCCGAAGTTTGCATATGACGATTGCCCGCACTCGGACACCGATTTTCGAGGTTCTTCCAGGTCTGTTCACCGTGTGTTTTGCAAGCTTTGTTGTTCGTTTTTGGATGAGACTCCGATGGAGCTCCAAAAGACTAGGAAGGCAGCCTCTGAGAAAGTCGTCAACGCACCGCTCGATAGGATCCCAATGATTGAACGTTTGGTTGAAGAGGAACCCGAAGAAGGACACACCCCCGAGATGCTAGAGAAGATTTTGACTGAATTTGCCGCCCAAGTCGCGTTAGCAGCCGAAACCGAGGCAGTGACTTCGATCAAGCTGCACGAGCTCCTCCACCTGTCCATCGAAGAGAGCAAAGGAGACTCGTTCACCATGATTGATTACACCGAAGATCCAGACCCCTTTGCAGGGATCGGCATTTGTTTTCATGGGGAGGAACCTACCCAGATGACAGATGGTTTAGCGCACATATTTCACGAAGCCAGGGACATGTACAGCCCAGACGACGGGAACATCTACGTCGTTCTCGACGAGGGATGTAATTCCACCTGCCATTCAAAGCACTGGGGAGACGTCGTGGAAGCCAAACTGAAGAAGCTGGGGTATGATTTCCCTTTCTCAACCACAACGTCGAAGAACTTTGCCGGATTAGGTGAAAAAGGGACCACTACAGAAGGATCCCGCACATTACCCTTTTCGTTGCACTTCGACGAGGGAGATCCAGTGCATGGTGTTCTTGAATCCCACCAGCTGTCGAAAGGTCGATCTCCGCTGCTTTTGTCTCTCCATGCTCAGGCACACTTGGGACTAGTAAAGGACCTCAAGAATGGTATCATTAGCATCAATGGAAAACGCCTCAAAGTGTTCAGATGCATGCACACCGGTTTGATGATGTTGGCAATTACCCCCCAACAATTGGTCCAAAGTCTCGAAGCCACCATGCCCCAAAAGATTCCAAAGTGTCATCGCAAATTTCGTGTCGCCCTCACAGCCTTCGATACTCCGATGGAGAGATTGGATACGGCAGAGCGAGGGTACCAAGCCCAGACTGCCGAAGGTATCCATCGTGCGCTTGGCAGCATCATTGGCAATTTGAAGAGCCGTGAGTTTTTGCTGGTCACAGGAGGTGACCGGTTTGAAGACAGGTTGGCAGAGCATGTTGGCAGTGGTATCCCCGTGAAGTACATCAACGCCAAGTCGCTGTGGGATCCCGACCAAGATCCTTCGTTGCGTGGACACGTGTGAAGGCATCCGGCCATTTTGAATGGTCTTAGGAGGGATCAGAGAGGTCTTGACCGCATCTTTCGTGAGGTGGACGACTTTGTGGAGCGCCATGACAAGGGAGTTTTGGATGTGCGCTGCAAGTCAGGGCGTCATCGTTCTGTGGGCGGAAGCATGTTGATCCACAGGCATCTTGCTTCGAAGGGCTTCACGTGTGTTGTGATTCATTCTCACTCGCCTGAATGGCGTGAGATGTCGTGTGGAGGGCGTTGCACTCTTTGTGGGCCGCTTTTCGGCGATACAACTGTGACATTGACTCCAGCACATACAATGAATGTTCACACTCCAAGAGCTGTTCGAGGTGATGCGGACGACCACGTGCCGTGGCGATCCGGTGAGCGTTCAACGGCACCACCACCAACACGGGAAGAGGCTATTCGCAGCACCAGTGCAAAGGCCCGTCCACTTCCACCAAAGGCCTGCCCTCCAGTACTTTCGAGGCCATCTTCATCTTCACGACCGCCGAAGGCGAGTGACGCCGTGGCATCTCGAAAGAGCAAACCAATGCCGAGCGCTGCCGTGACCTCGTCTGTGAGGCCGGTTCCGGATTTTGATGATGCTGACAGCCATGAAGACGACACCAAGTTGGACGAACAAGAGGTTGGAGAAGAGATAGAAGAGGTTGAGGTTGAAGAGCCAGAGATTCCAGCGGAAGAAACTTCGAGCGGAAGCCAAGAGATTCTGCAAGCCCTCAAGAGGTTGACAGATGCCGTGACGACGCTTGCAAATCGCAATCCGCGGTCCCGTAGCCCATTGAGGAGGAGAAAGTCGGCTGGTACATCAGAACCCAACCAGAGGCCAACTAGGTCTAGGAGTCCGATTCGTCCGACCAGATCAACAGTGAAGACAGCTCCTACGATGCCGAAGACTCCACCACCTCCGCCGAAGCCTGTGAGTCCGCGCACTCCTGATCATCCACCACCACCAAATCGTCCGCCGCCCCAGCTCTTGTCCAAGTCCAGGTACGATGAAGATCAACGTCCAGGTTTGGAAGATGAGTTGTGGGTCCTTTTGACCAACGATGGGGTGCCGAAGGTTGATCAGGTGGATCCTGAACTCCTCCATGTTCTGGCCGGTGCAGCTAGGGATTGGAGCAACCGTGACAGGACTTTGTGGTTGGTGAACCGCGATCTGCCGCCCAAGGATCAGCAGTGGCATGGCATCCGCGTGGACATCAAGATCAGGGGTGGAGTTTACACTTCAGCAGTCTCGAAAG